TTTACCTAATTAATAATTTATTATTGACGATCGTGTGGCTTAATTAATTAATACTCTATACACCTTTCCTTTCAACTTTATTATATTTATAGTATGGCCCATCTTGTTTTGAACTAATCTCCAAGTATTAAGTGAGTTATAAGTATATAAATGAAAAGATTATTTTGAACGATCTCTAGAAAAGGTGTTTAAAAATGTTTAGTTAAAACCTTTCATTTTTTAAAGTTGTAAGTTTAATATCTATTATGAGTAAAGAATTGTATTCTCTCTTTAAATAAAAATTATTCAAAACAAAATACAGATATACGAGTTCATTTAATCATTAAAATCGATCAACGAGTTCATTAATAATTCTTTTGTCACGTATCATTAAAAATTGAAAAAGATAGATGGTAATCCAAAAGCCACAAAGCCCTGTACTGTATCCTATTAATTTCTTCAAAACTATTGGTCCTTACCTGACTGGCATCATCAAGACAATTCGATGGATCAGACAACAAAGAACAATAAATGGGGAATAAAAGATTTCCCTCCCCTTTTATAACATGATGTCGAAACGATTTTTTTCTTAAAAAATATATTTAAATTTTTAAAAGTGATTTTTAAAAGAGTTCATCTCGAATAATTTAGTGATCTTTTAATAATAAAATATGGTTTTAGGAGTCACCATCAATATTTGATTAGGGTATGATTGAGTACCCAAAAAAATGTATTTGTCGTTTTAATAAAAACATTAATTTTAATTAAAACAACAAATTTACGGTATGCGTTATCAAAAATTTGAGTTCGGGAGTCGTTTAGCGTGAGGAAGGATTAGTACCCCACAAAGCCCTAAATCGGTACCTAATTGATTAATTAGTGGTCATTGCAATGAAATTTACGAGTTTGAATTTAATTTAATTTAAGATCCCATACAAATAATATTATTTGAATTTTAGGACAAAACAAAATAATATTTAATTATTTCCTATCGAGAAGAATCGACCTCTCATGCTTTAAAGCAGTTGATTCTTACTCTAATCGAAATAAAGGAATATTACAATTTCATCCTAAAGTTCATTATTAATTCAAAATTTAAGTGCATAAATTACAATACAATAAAACAAAATAACTCTAAGACCTTTTTTAAAACATATTCTTTGAATTTTAAGAGGGAAAACAATAATAATATCTAATTATTTCCAATCGAGAATAAATGACCTCTCGTGCCTTAAAGCAGTCATTTATTACTCCAATCGAAATGAAGAGATATTATTATTTCGTCATATAATTCAATATTAATTCAAATGTTATTTACTTCAAAATCCTATGAAAAATACATACGAAAATAAAACCAAAATTTCAAACACATATCAAACAAACACAATTAATTAATTATTTTACCAACCATTAATGATAATAAGGATGTTCAATCATTTAAATACATCGAGATACAACCTTAGATTTGATCTAACAGTCTTTTCTCAGTGAATTTAATTAAAAGAACATGATTTTTCTCAATCCCAAATTTTAAATGTAATCAATTTTATTCGTGTCACTTAATGAGATACATTTTCATTTTAAAATTATCGAAAGTAATTTTCTTATACGTTAAGACAGTCACTTTACAACAATCTTAAAATGAACATATATTACCCTTTGTCAAATTATTTGAATCGAGTCAAGTAATGCTTATGAGGTTTCATGCAATTAAATCCTAAATCTATATGCAACAAAATATACAAATATTTCATAATATCAATACATATTTTATATATAGACAATATTCAAAACACTTATTACAAATATAGGACTAAATAATAAAACTGGAAACATTAGTTTCACAACTGCTAATTAAATAAATATTATAACCTATAATACAAAAATAATACATTGTAAGCACTAATAGTGTAATGAACACATATATTTAGGACTAAATGAACATATTTAACAATACATGCTAAAATTGTAAATGATAAAAATAAAATATAAGGACCAAATTAAAATAAAATAAGATTACATGATTAAATTAAATTTAATTAAAAAATAGATCAGTGACCAAAATATAAAAACATGCTGAAATTATAGGGACTAGTTGATAATTATTCATTTTTAGCCTAAAATACATTGTTAAATAAAAATGTGTAAATTACTAAATAAGTCCAAAAAAATAAAATAAAATTAAATAATCACTACACATGACCAAAATGCAAGAACACGCTTAAATAAGGGGACTAAACAACAAATATTCCAATAAACACATAACATACAAGGAAAAAAAGGGTAAATAACAATTTTGGTCCTTGTAGGTGACTAATATGCAAAAACACGCTAAACATAGAGGGATTAAACAACAATTAAACCAATCAATATATAACACGTATGAAAGAGGGAAAAATACCAACTTTGGTCCTCGCAGGTGACCAACATGCAAAAAGGAGCTAAACTATGGGGGACATATGCGTGATTTTACCTTAAACTTTCCCTATAAAACTCACTTTTTTTTTCATTTTCAATCGAAACTTAAAAAAAAAATTTAAAACTCTATCAACTCTCCCCTTTATCCCTCGACCGATTCCCTTCCGACCACCTTACGTCGCCGCTCTGACCGTCGTTCCGGTCGTCACACACTAAACTAACACAAAAAAGCCCTATACTTCTAGATCTACCCTCTGAAGCCTAGATCTAAGGCCGAAATCACCTAAAAGACCCCTAAAAACTCGAAAAGACCCTTCAAAGTTTCGTTTCTTCACCTTCCCCGCCATCGTGAAAGATGAACCGGTCGTACGGTTCAACTCCCTTCTCAGGTAACTCCCTCTAAATCTCCTCTTCTTTTTTTCCCCGTAAATATGTATATTTTTTCGAAACTGAAAAGTAGATAAAAAATACCTTAAGACTCTTGTTGGTATTGCTTCGAAAATGGAAAAAGGATCCTTTATTTTACAACAGATTTTGGGTTTTATACCCAACCTTTACAAATCTTTTCAAAATAAAAAAAATCGTACTTAATCCTGACATCTACTGTTGGTGGTTGTTGATGATGGATCTTTGTGGCAGGGAGGTATGGTTGCCTTACTCGGTTAGTAAGGCATTAAATGCATCGGATTTTGTTAAGAGTCGATCTGGCTCGGCTCGGTGGCTCCGACGATCGGTGTGGCTGGATGTGGAGAATATTCAGTCGGGGTTGTGGCTCATCCTTGACGACGACATCAGTAACTAAAGAGACCTTGTTTTAGGATTAGGGTTAGATTAGATTAGGTTTTGTAATTGGGTCCGCGTTTGGATCTGTTTGGACCCTCTGGGTTTTTGTTTGGACCCGGGTATGGGTTTTGGTTTGGACCTGGGTCTGGGTTTTGGTTTGAACCGGTTGGCTTTGTAATTGGGCATTGGTTTTGGGCCAGCTGGTCCCTTGGATTTGTTGTAATTCAGGCCTGCAATAAAATATAAATGAAATAAAGATAAAAACTAAAATAAAATAAAAATAAAATAGATAAAATAAGATAAGATAGAAAATAAAAATAAAAGAGTCGGGCGAAAACGAGTGTCTACACTGAAAAAAAAGAGAAAAAACAAATAAAACTAAATGTAATATTTTTCTTAATTCGAAAAGGAGTAATGCAAACAAGTTTTCTTCAAATGATAATAATTATAGGAATAATTAATGGCAAGCGAATATAATCAAATATAAAAATAAAAGATATCAAGATTTACGTAAAAAAAATCAAAAAGGGAAAAAATACAGGCAAGGGAAAAGAAAATTTTATTATGACAAAAAAACATAAAGATCTATTACAAATGTTAAATCTATTACAAAATTTTATTAAATGGATTATACTGCTCCTTACATGCAGGCCTCACTGTTTCACTATTGTTTTGATTGTAACTTCATAAGCAAGTCTAAAAAAAATTGAGTCACAACTCTAACAATAATTTTCATGTTATTTTTTTGCTCGAATCCACTATAATTAAAAGGTCTAATAGAGCTTTTATTACAATATATACATATATATATATATATATCGAAAAAGGAATACGATAATATGAGAAACACTTTAATAATTTTTTTATTTGACCTTTTTTAGGGTTCTGAGATAAATTTGAGCATGTTATTTGAATAATAAAAGAGAATCTTTTTGATTTAACTGTCGACAACGATAATCAACATCATTTAATTATATCCGATACAATAAAACATCATCGGAAATTGATTTTTTTTCTCTCTAGAAAACTTGAATAACAGGAAGAGTAAAATGAGATTTAAGAGAATTTCTCAAAACCTTGATTGATTTGTGAAAAAAAATGAAGAAAATAAAACATGTTATTTTTCATTGGCTTTTAAACTCATTAAAAAGAGTCATTATAATATACATACGTGTATATATATATAAACAAGTATATTATAATGACTCTTTTTATCGGTATGAAGTACTTATAATTTTTTTTAAAAAATCCTCAATTATTTGATAATAAACGTTCAAATACCTATGCAGATATCATGTTCAAACCTGAGATATATAAGAATAACAATCATCTTTTAATCACTGACGTCGTTTAGTACGTACATATAAATGACTTTTAATTCCATACATTAGGGACAAACGCTTATTGATACACCAAATAAATAAATAATAATAATAATAATAATAACTATAATAATAAATAAATAGTACATTTGTTAAACTTATGATAGAATATTTAACCTACAATTTAGGTGAGAGAGTAAGTATAAACTGAGAGCTTTTAACCATCAAAGAATAATATTTTTATAAAAACTACAGAGTATAATTATTTATATAATTATAATAATTCATATGACACCTCGAAGAATTGAAAAGTATAATTAAAATTTTCAATTACATTCAATTCAATATAATTTATTGATTATAACATATTTGTGTAATTACACACAATTCCACTTATAAGATAACTTTTAAGATAGACATACAGATACAGTCATATTTATTTGATAAATACCAGTGAAGGAAAATAAAAAAACATGAAAGAGTTGCAACCTTTTTTAACTAAAGGTAAACCTCAATGAGAGATCTCAAACCCAGTATAGGAGTAATTTTAACCATCACTTGTTTGTCTTGATTTAAAATCGCCACTTTGAATCGTTTCAGAATCTTCAAGCATTCATCGTCATTCCAATTGTGCAATATCCACTATTTAATCAACTCAAAAGCATTAGTGTTAATTGAAAACAATTACAAAAACGTCAAAAAGAGATTATTGATAAAAAAAAAACTTTAGTAAAACTAAAACTGCATCTGCAACAGGAACATCCTCAAACATATCGCCTCCAACATATTTCAAGTTCCCGCTATCTTGTTGGTCAGCAACAACACGAGGAAGATCAAACACAGTGCACTCCAAGTTTGGCAATGCATCAGCGATGGCCTTGCCTAGTGTTCCTGTGCCCCCTCCAACGTCCACCAACGAATTCAATCCCTCAAATGAGCCCTTACACTTGTCAATCAAAACGCTACTAACCAATCGAGCATCGCTAGCCATGGCTTCATTGAAAGAATTACCAAGCTTTGGGTCATGAGAAGCATATTCCCAAAACGTCTTCCCATGAGCTATATCAAATGGGGTATAATCATTATTTTGGAACCAGATGCCTAGAAAATCCCAAGGCTTTGTTAAAACAGGATCCAACATAGCTTTCAGAAGAGGTGTAACGCTTAAGGGATTATCATTAAGCAAGAGACGAGAAGCACTGGTAAGAACATAACCATCTTCTTGGGCGTCATTGCTAAGCTTTTTTTGTGCAAAGAAGCCCGAATGAACTAAAATACGCATGAGCCGGTAGATGTTGCATGCCTTGGTAGGGTTGAGCGTTGGTAGTGCAGCGACCAACTCGGTGACAGTCATGGGCTTGCCATGGTTTTGAATGATATCTGGGATACCTAATTCAACAGCACATTTTAAGGACACGGGATTTATGAAGTTAAAAATGTGATTCCACACATGAGCATGAGCTTGAAGTAGCTCATTCACATTTTCTCCATTAACATTGACCTTATACATATTAGCTAAGGTCTTTCTGTTTTGCTCTGGAACCATAGGCTAAAAATGAGATACATGGAAGAGGAACGTTCCCGTATATATGGGAACTGCCGTCTTAAAATAATTTAGGATAAACGACACTACACACCAGTGAATTCCAGGTAGTGTATCGTTTATACTATTAAGCTTTCAATTTTTATAATTATAACAATAAATTTTTGTTTTAACTTCAATTATGTCACCCGACCGTTAAATTTTAACGGTACAATAACATGGATTGATCTTTCTATCACTATGATGACGTGGACAAAATAACATTGTTTTAACAACGACTATTGATGCAAAAAATGACGTCGTTTTAGGCACTGAACTTTAGGTATGTATCAATTTTGTCACAACTTTTAAACAGTTTACTTTTGGCATTGTACTTTCCAGCCGTCATTAACAACCAAATCACTGCCTGTCACCGTTTGTCTTTCGCATAAAGGTTGTTACCAAAACGTTCGTATTTCACTCATCTTTCTTCTCCTATGATTGATTTTTTCATGAAACTCACTCAAAATCAAAAAAAAATCAATTTAAAAGTTTGACGTGCCAATACATTGATCTCTTTCGATGATCGTCCGATGAGGCTAGTTTTAATGCATGTTGTTCATCTTCTTGAAATAACGCTTCTCACCGTTCAAAGTTTCGAACAAACACCCTAAATTCATAAAATCTAATAAAGTCCCAAAACCTCTAAAATAGTATTTTTTTTAATTTCATCGATTTTGAGCGGATTTTATGGAAAAAAGGTCCTTAGAGTAGAAAGAGGATTAAAATACAAACGTTTTGGTATCAAACTTGTCATGAAAGACGATCGGTGACATGCAATAATTGGTTGCCGATGATGGTCAGAAAAATGTAGTGATAAAAATAGAACTGATTAAAAGTTTAGTAGCAAAATCAATACACACCTAAAGTTCAGTTTTTAAAATGACACCGTTTTAAGTATCAATAACCGCACAAAAAACAATATCATTTTGTTCATGTCATAACGTTGTTTGAATTTTAATGGGCCCAATGACATAAATAAAGTTCAACACTAGTATTAAAAAAATTAAAAATTCAATAGTATAAATGAATAAATCATACATCATCTAAAATAAAGTGATGGCTGGTATAGTTTATCTAGGCTGAATTAATTAATATTTACTTTCACCATATGAAACACGTTGCTTCCGAGCCCATGCTCCTTTAATAAATCCAACTATATCATTAAGAAATGAAAAAGACACAAAACCTAATACTGTCTCCTATTAATTCTTATATAGCAAGGAAGAATGATAGAACAGGAAAGCGTTTTGGTTTTGTTAGATTTTCCAATAGAGATGACTCAGTTAGAGCAGTCCAAAGATTAAATGGATTCTAGTTATTTGGATATCGATTAACAGTCAATGAAGCACGGTATAGAGCCAAGAATCAAAAGTGGAAACTGAAATGCCCATCAACCTCCAATGCTATAACCAGGGCAGAACAAGGAAAAAGCGTGAGTGGATATAGTTGGGAGGAGTAACCAAGAAGGAGGAGTAGGTTAATGCAGGGGGATATAGACGAGGAAGTTGTTCGAAAGCTCCAGAAGTGTCTGGTAGGAACGATGGCGACAGTTTGCTCTTCGAGTCAGGTGGAAGACAGATTACGAACAGGATGTCTAGGAGAAATTAAGACCAAGTTTCTGGGAGGGAGAGATTTCTTATTGCAAATAGATGATGAAGCGTTTTACAGAATCTTAAAGGAGCAGAACTGGTCCTATTTAAATGAAGTTTTTCAGGAAGTTCAACCTTGGTCGGAATCATACAGAACATCGAAAAGGGTAACATGGATTAAACTGTTTGGTATGCCACTTCACTGCTGGAACCATAACACCTTTAAGAGGATAGCAGAGCAATGGGGAGAATACTTAGCGATGGAAGAAAACACACATCAAGAAATGGGCTGCGAGGAGATGTCTATCCTTATAGCAACTAGTAGGAAAGAATTAATTGATAAAGTGGTAGACTTGGAAGCAGACAGAGATATATTTAGAATTAGAGTAGTGGAACATTCTACAAGAAGAAGTGATTATTTGTTTCGAAAGCGAGAAGAAAAAGAAGATGTGGTTGCTGTAGATTCTGAATCATTAGCAGGAAGAAGCGTGGACTCATCGGAGGAGAAGAATTTTGAGAGGTGGTTTGGGGAAGATGATAGTCAATTACGTTGTATGGGGAACATACCTAGAGGCGACTACTTATCGGGTGAGGATGAGGAGGAAAGAAACATAGGGGAGGAAACAATTATGGGTATGAGGATTAATGATGATGGATCGAGGAAAGTACTAAAGCAAATCGAGGAAGTAGTAGAACACGAGGAGAGAGAGGCAGAAGATGCCAGCAAGAAAATATTTAAGATTGTTCGTGTTAATAATGAAATGAAGGATAGTTTAACAGATTTGACTATATGGGAAGATCGATTAGAGTCAAAGACGGTGGAGGATGTGGTTAATATGGGCTTCATAAACAATTGTGCTATCAAAAGTTCCAAGGGAGAGGAAGTCCAACATGACGGGGCTGTGGCAGACAGGGTGGATGGAAAGACCTTATCGGGGATAGAAAGGGAGGATATGGATCATAGACTTTGCTTGTCAACTAAACTGAGGGAGGATATTTTAATGCACAATTCCAGGCAGAACCAGAGAGCTAAGGAGGGGAAAAACAAAAAATATAATTCTCTTCAAAGAATCCAAGAGAAATTCAAATATAAACAAAGGAAGAGTAGAAATTGTCGAAGCAAGAGAAATCAAAAGAAAGTGCAAAGCGAGGAAGAATTGACTGAACTTGAAGGCAGATCCTTATCTGACTCTGACTTACAAGCAAGATGGCAGAGACAAAAGAAGGAAGTGAAAGAAACATTATAGATCGACAAAGAATTGGGTATAGAGTTTGAAGGATCAGAAGAGGTTTTGGTTCGGGAAATTATAGCAATGAAAGAATTGGAAGGTGAGTCTCACTCTCTATCTATTGAATTTTAGTTGTAATCAGAGGAGGTAGTTCGAGACGAGGATCTTATCCTGGAACATAAGAGTTTATTGAAAGCAGTGGGTAAAGCTGGGGGTCTACTGTTTGAGTGGGATTATAGTTGTTTTTAGATTGAAGATAGTTTAATTAAGTATAAATTTATTCTAAAAATTAGGAAGTTTGCTTCAGAGGATTCGAAATGTTCAGCGTTGAATGTTTATGCTCCTTGTGTTGTTACTGAACAAGTTTTATAACACCCCAACCTGTATCCAACCCGAATACGAGTCCGATGTGTCACATTGACTTTTCAAAACATTTACTTGTATAAAATAATGAGTAATTTAAAACTTTTATAACATATAAATGACTAACTTACATAAAATACATTTACATTATTGTAAAAAAAAAAAAACCGATCAAAGCATGCATAATTCACTTATTCATCTACATATAACTTATTCAAAACGTTTACAAAACTATTCAAAGCTTATACAATATACTCTTTTGAATACATGCCAACTAGAACTTTATATACAAAAATATATATTATTCACCTCTTTTCTGATCTGATATTCGGTAAGGAGAACTGACCTGTCTTGCTCCACATTGCTCTTTACTCTTCTCGAAACCTACGTGTAAATCACTTACACGCTAAGTCTATGACTTAGTGAGGCAAATAAACATATAATGTAGACTATAACTTGTAATCATGCTTGAACAATTACTGCTATCATAGCATACTCAAACATATTTTCGTTCATCCATCAAATCCTTACATGCATATAATTATCTTCATTCCTATCATTATCATTTTATTATCAATCATATTTCTATTATCTTGTTCATATGATTTATTATGTTCATATCATATATCTTATAACATATACAATAATCATTAACACACATATATCATGTCATAGAATTCATATCCCAAAACATACATATCTCATATATATTGTATTCAATATTATCTCCTATTAGCCCATGTACACATGTGAGAACTGTAGATATGTGAGTCTATCGAGGTTGTGCACTATGTTGTCACCACATCTCGTATAATTCTCACTAGGGCTGCGTAGAATTTGTCCCGAATGACCACGTAGATGTCCCAAAGGACTACATATAACACATATATCTCGAAGGATCGCATAGAACCTCGACTCTTGGCATGGCAACTATACCTCTAGCTCTCAATACACATAACATGGACATTTTCACTTATATCATTTCACATATACATTTTCATATCACATGTTCATATAAGCTCATAGCTTCTTTCACATATACATGTAGACATATAGCTTCTTTTCATGTAATTCATATCATTTTTCATATAATTCACATGTTCACATATCTTTTTTCATATTCTCATAGGATCACATGGCTCATTTATACATCACATAGCACATACTTCTCATAGACATATAAAAAACATAGATCTTCATCACATAACTTATATTACATGTTCATATAATAATTTATATCTATGCCACATAGCTTATATCGCTTTCTCTTGTCATTACATAAGTCATTATTATTTACATAGTTTATGATCATATAACTTATATCACAGAGTCACATCATCACATAAATCATATCACATAGAAAAGAACATAACAATACATATTCACATACTAACGATTATCAACTATACTTATTTTCATGCATTCATAAAATCAGAACATGGAAATAGACTCATCGCAAGTCTAATTTCCATATAATAATATACTATAATCATATGCACTCACCTTTGCCTTGCTTGCTTTGAATCAATCCTAATCCTTCGATTGTTTCGGAACAAGCTTTCCTTCTATATCTACATAGTAATACATTGATACTTATCAGTATACTAATTAACCATAACTTCTTACACTAAAAGAAAGGCTAATTTCATCTCTTAATGAAGGTGTGTATCGATGCATCCCTTGACGGTTGCATCGATGCACTATCTATGCATCGGTGCATAAATCACATTCGATGTTTGTATTTTAAGCAGGTGCATCGATGCACTCCTTATGCATCGATGCACTAATTGCATTCGATGTTCATTTATTTGAGAGTGCATCGATACACATTGAATGTGCATCGATGCACACAACCCTGAAATGATACTTTGAGCACGAAAATCCCTTCATGATCCTCTCAACTCTTCATTTTTTCACCCCTTTTTATATTCCCAACTTTCATACACATACTTACACTCATTCTTACTCAATAATCACTTCTTTAACCTCCAAATCATATCCTTTATATGGCATTCAAGAATCATACACAAATCTCAACATATTCTAAATCTCATCCTAATACTTCCTATTCCTTATTTAGATTGATGACAAGTCAAATCCACTTCCAATTCTAATTATTATGTAACACCCTCAACCCGTACCCGACCCGGATACGAGTTCGAGGTGTCACATTGACTTTTCAAACTTTGACTATTGACGAAAAATCAAGGAAATTTAAAACTTTCATTAAAATAACATTGTTACTTTACACAAGTTAACCAAAACAAGACAAAACTGATCAGAGCATTTATAACAGACACTTTTCTTACATGCCAACCATATACACGACAAAAGACATACTTTAACTGTTACTTCTGATCTGATCTTCTAGTAGTGCTGATGTTCTTACAACCCTATTTCCACTCTTCCTGATTCTTGATACCTACGTGTAAATCACTTACACGCTAAGTTATAGACTTAGTGAGACATATAAATATAACAATAATGCATTCAATATGAATATGAACATGCAATCTATCCATTCAATCATGTCGTATACAATTCAATGTAAACAATAATAATATGATAACATATCATTATAAAAATATAATTACCTTTGATAACCTTTTATAGGCCCATGTACATTTTTTAGAACTCAAGGTATTCGAGTACATTGAGGTTATGTACTATGCTGTCACCACAGCTCGTATGGGTCCCACTAGGGGCTATGAAATTTGTCCCGAATGACCTATAACTGTATTTGTCCCGAAGGACCACTCCTTAAGAACTATATACATATTCTCGTGGATCAGATATGTCTCAAAAGACACTGTAAATGTTCCAAATGATACATATACGTCCCGAAGGACCACGTAGAACCCTCGACTCTTGGCATGCCAACTATACCTATAACTCTCATATCGTATACCATGGGCATTATTCTTATGTTTCATGTGTTCATGTCATTTCTCTTGTGATCACATAGCTCATATCACTTATCATATCACATGTGCATTTGGGTCTTTTCACATATATCATTTATCAAATCATATGAACATATATACTTTATGCAAGTATCATAATAATTATCATGTATGCATGTTCATAACTATTGTGCTATGAAAATCAACATATGAATTAGACTTATCACAAGTCTTATTCCATTGTACCATGCTTCTAATATGTACTCACCTTAGCCTTGCTTGACTCGATTCTAATCCTTCAATTGTTCCGGAACGAGATCACGTTCAAAATCTACATATTAATACATTGATATATATCAGTATACTAATTGATATATTCTAAACTATCATTCCTTAGGCTAATAAGAAAGTTATTTTTATCTTTTAATGAAGGCATGCATCGATGCACTACACCATGCATCGATGCACTACACCATGTATCGATACATCCCTTGACAGGTGCATCGATGCACTATTCATGCATCGGTGTATAAATCCTATTCGATGTTTGTATTTTAAGCAGGTGCATCGATGCACTCCTTATGCATCGATGCACTGATTGCATTCGATGTTCATTTATTTGAGAGTGCATCGATGTACATTGAAGATGCATCGATGCACACAACCCAGAATTTAAATTTTAAGCACGAATTCACTCTCTTTCTGCTTAATTCTTCATCTTTTACCTCCTTTAAATATTCCTAACTTTCATATACATACTTAAACTCACTTCTAATCTATACTCACTTCTTTAAACTCAAAATTCTATCTTCCATATGAAATCCAAAAATCATACTAAATTTTCTACTTGTTCTAAATTCAATTCCATCACTTCATATCTCTTAATTAAGTGGATGACAAGTCAAATTTGTCTTCCAATATGAGTAATGAACTCTATACCAAGATTTCATTCAAGAACTCAAAATCTTTAATCTCTCATATATCTTTCATCTTGTTGTTTTAGAACAAATTAAACTTTCCTTAAGCTTAATTATCATCTAGTGATCATAACCCAACCTTTAAATCAACCAATAATCAAGAAATCACAAACTTACCTTTGAGCTTGGAGATACGGGAGGAAGAAGAAGAATAAGAGAGTTTCCCAGATAACTCTTTCTTTTCCCCCACGTGTTTCATTCTTATAAAAGGGGAAAAATATCTTTCTTATAAAATGACCAATTTACCCTTTAATTCATTCAATAATTACCAAACAACCTTCAACTATATTTCCAATAAGTCACTAAACTATTAAACTATTTTACTTTTATCACCAAATTTCAAAAATTCTAATTTTAGTCAATGACTCGGATTTTGATATGTTACAAATCTCCCCTCTTTTAAAGAAAATTCGTCCTAGAATTTTCACTGAACATATTAATAAGAATATATCTTTTAATATTCTCGTGCTGATGTTTCCACTTTATTCCTTACACAATTGCAACTATTGATTTGCCTTCAATTGTTCCAAGTAACTCAATCCATTTCGATCTTTTCTCTTATTTGCTTATACACCTACTTTTGACCGTTGAAAATCAATATCCAACCAATGACTTACTTTTACCTCCATTCTCATCACTTTATATCATAAATCAATCTATTTCTTCATTAATCTCTAATTACCTTATAACCATAACTCAAACTCTTATTCCATCATCATTTAACCACAGCACAACCTTAACTCTTCTTCAAATTTGATTAAATATACATTTTACAGAATCAAACAATCTTTTCATAACACCGTCTACCATTTCCTTACTTTCATATCCACTTATAATTCACACTTTACACCATTTTCATTTAATTTCTCTATCTATTACTCCTTTCTTCCAATAAAACATACCCCACCATCAAACCATTCATATAATATACATTCTTCCCAATAAGAAAAATAATTCGTCCTCTATTTCCTTAACTTATCAAACCTTCATTCTCACTTATCCATAATACAATTTCCTTGGTTTGCATTCAAACATTCCATTTACCTTTGTCTTATAAACTGATTACTGATGCACATATTTTCCAATTTTCCCAACATAATAGTATCCATCACTTATTCTTTTAATATTCCCTTAATAACACCCATTCCTTCTACCTTATCTTGTCACTGAAGTAAAGAAACTACTTTATTTCAGAACGATAAAGATCTTCTAATTCTACAATTTCCAATCTTACTTCAAATCATTTGAATAGTAATTCCATTAATTTAACAAGGAATTCCATTCTCTAAATTCTAATGGAACATTCTCAATACATCTTATTTATCCCAACACTGTACCCTAATAAATTTGTCCCTTCCACATCACTATAAATAACTTCTAATTGAATTCTCAATTCTCACATCAATTTACTACTAATATATATATATACAAGTCCAGATCAATCAATATCATAACATATCTATTACATAATAAAAAGTACCTGTTATAATCTCTGGATCATTAAAATCTTCATTAGTATTCATATTATACACTCGAGTAGTGGAGCGTATTTCCTGTTGAGTAAAGGATTCAGGTTGACTTCTACCTCTTCCTCTATCTCTTCTCCTCTGAGACATCGAAGAAGATCGCTCCGACTGTACTGGTTCTCCTGTCCCCAATGGACAATCTCTCATGAAATGTCCCACTTCACCAAATCGGAAACAAGCTCCAGTAACTAACCTACACGTTCCGCTATGACTTCTTCCACAAATTTCACATTGTCTAATTTGACTCTGCTGTGCTCGTCCATCACCAGACCCTACAGATTGAGTCTGTCTAGCTCTCCTCTGATTTGATTCCCTTGCAACGGATGCTATCGGCTCTGATTGTGCTTGAGATCGGAAATCAAAATCTCTACTTTTCTTAGGTGGTGCAAAACTTGATGAAGCCTCAGTTCTTTTAGATAGTTGGGTTCTTTGATTCCCAAACCTTTCATTTTGAGCTCTCTCTAAGGCTTTAGCACGATTTACTACCTCTTGAAACGAGGATAAGTTCAACACTATCAACATCTCTTTTAAACTTGGGCGTAAGCCCTCAACAAACCACTCGCAAGACTCTTTCTCTGTAGGCACTAACTCTGCTGCAAAGCGACTTAATTTATTAAATTCGCACTCATACTCATATACAGTGCGGTCCAATTGCTTCAAGTTCAAAAATTCTTGTTTCATTTGCCTGATAAACTGGTCTCCTATATATTTGTTTTTGAACTCTTTTAAGAACAAGGACCAGGTCACTTCATCACTTGTCATTCTCAGAGTGACGTTTGTCCACCAGACTCTCGCTTGCCCACAAAGCAAGGAGATCACTCCATCTAACTTCTCTACATTAGAACAGTGGAGACCATCTAACATAATTTTTACATCATTAAGCCAAAGGTCTGCAACAACAGGACATTCCTCAGCTTCACCTTTAAACTCTGGAGCTCCTAAACCCTTCAACTCCTTTGCAACATTCATTCTCGGAGTTGAAGTAGCAGAAGGTTGGAAACGTGTCAATACCGCATCTAATGTTCTAAAAAACACATCTTAATCAGTTACAGGCACTCCAGAAGGTGTCTGTTCTTCACCTTGCCTGGCCAGGGCAGGTGAATTACTACTTTCAACGGGCCTATCATCTCCCGCTTCACTTCTAGAGCTACCATGTCCGGACATCTATAAGAATATAACCATATCATTCTATTAGCAAAACAACATACTTACTATTATATCAGATCAGAAGTTTTCACTATTTTGTTGGCATGAATACTTTATAAGACACTCTAGACTCCGATTTATGCTGAGAATCGACTAAACCGTAGCTCTGATACCATTAAATGTAACACCCTCAACCCGTACCCGACCCGGATACGAGTCCGAGGTGTCACATTGACTTTTCAAACTTTAACTATTGACGAAAAAATCAAGGAAATTTAAAACTTTCATTAAAATAACATTGTTACTTTACACAAGTTAACCAAAATAAGACAAAACTGATCAGAGCATTTGTAACAGACACTTTTCTTACATGCCAACCATATACACGACAAAAGACATACTTTAACCGTTACTTCTGATCTGATCTTCTAGCAGTGTTGCTGTTCTGTAACCCTATTTCCACTCTTCCTGATTCTTGGTACCTACGTGTAAATCACTTACACGCTAAGTCATAGGCTTAGTGAGACATATAAATATAACAATAATGCATTCAGTATGAATATGAACATGCAATATATCCATTCAATCCTGTCGTATACAATTCAATGAAAACAATAATAATATGATAGCATATCACTATAACAATGTAATTACCTTTGATAACCTTTTATAGGCCCATGTACATTTTTGATAACTCAAGGTATTCGAGTACATTGAGGTTGTGCATTATGCTATCACCACAACTCGTATGGGTCCCATTATGGGCTATGAAATTTATCCCGAAGGACCTATGACTGTATTTGTCCCGAAGGACCACTCTTTAAGAACTATATACATATTCCCGTGGATCAGATCTGTCTCAAAAGACACTGTAAATGTTCCAAATGATACATACGTCCCGAAGGACCACGTAGAACCCTCGACTCTTGGCATGTCAACTATACATATAGCTCTCATATCGTATACCATGGGCATTATTCTTATGTTTCATGTGTTCATGTGTTCATGTCATTTCTCTTGTGATCACATAGCTCATATCACTTATCATATCACATGTGCATTTGGGTCTTTTCACATATATCATTTATCAAATCATATGAACATATATACTTTATGCAAGTATTATAATAATTATCATGTATGCATGTTCATAACTATTGTGCTATGAAAATCAACATATGAATTAGACTTATCACAAGTCTTATTCCATTGTACCATGCTTCTAATGTGTACTCACCTTAGCCTTGCTTGACTCGATTCTAATCCTTCAATTGTTCCGGAACGAGATCACGTTCTAAATCTACATATTAATACATTGATACATATCAGTATACTAATTGATATATTCTAAACTATCATTCCTTAGGCTAATAAGAAATCTATTTTTATCTTTTAATGAAGGCATGCATCGATGCACTACACCATGCATCGATGCACTACACCATGCATCGATACATCCCTTGACAGGTGCATCGATGCACTATTCATGCATCAGTGCATAAATCCTATTCGATGTTTGTATTTTAAGCAGGTGCATCGATGCACTGATTGCATTCGATGTTCATTTATTTGAGAGTGCATCGATGCACATTGAAGATGCATCGATGTACACAACTCAGAATTTACATTTTAAGCACGAATTCACTCTCTTTCATTTTAATTCTTCATCTTTCACCTCCTTTAAATATTACTAACTTTCATATACATACTTAAACTCACTTCTACTCCATACTCACTTCTTTAAACTCAAAATTCTATCTTCTATATGAAATCCAAGAATCATACTAAATTTTTTACTTGTTCTAAATTCAATTCCATCACTTCATATCCCTTAATTAAGTGGATGACAAGTCAAATTTGTCTTCCAATATGAGTAATAAACTCTATACCAAGATTTCATTCAAGAACTCAAAATCTTTAATCTCTCATATATCTTTTATCTTGTTGTTTAAGAACAAATTAAACTTTCCTTAAGCTTAATTATCATCTAATGATCATAATCCAACCTTTAAATCAACCAATAATCAAGAAATCACAAACTTACCTTTGAGCTTGGAGATACGGGAGGAAGAAGAAGAAGAAGAGAGTTTCCTAGATAACTCTTTCTTTCCCCCCACGTGTTTCATTCTTATAAAAGGGGAAAAATATCTTTCTTATCAAATGACCAATTTGCCCTTTAATTCATTCAATAATTACCAAACAACCTTCAACTATATTTCCAATAAGTCACTAAACTATTAAACTATTTTACTTTTATCACCAAATTTCAAAAATTCTCATTTTAGTCACTGACTCGGATTTCGGGATGTTACATATTAACTCTATAACAAAATTTCATTCAAAAACTCATAATCTTTAATCTCTTCTAATTCCATCATCTTTTGATTTTAAGATAACTTAAGCTTTCCTTAAGCTTAGTTATCATCTAATAATCATAAACTAATCTTAAATTTAACAAGAAACTCACCTTTGTTTTGGGTTCCCACGCATGAAGGAAGAAGAAGAGAAAGAGAACTCTGGAAGCTTGTAGATTTCTCTTCCCTTCAACGTGGTTAATATATAACCTTTCTTTAATTTAATTATTTCCCTTACAAAAGACCCTTTTGCCCTTCACTTCATCTAATAATTACTTATCTTTTTCAGGTAATATTTCCAAATAAATCATTGAACTATTCCATTCTTCTACTTTGGTCACCAAGTTCTGAAATTTTACAATTTAGTCACTAACCCATAGATTGGGATGTTACAAGTTTCATTTTGGAATGAGTAAGTGGTAGAAAGGGAAAAAATTTCCTTCGATTGTGTTTTTTATATTAGTTTAATTGTCATCTTTAATTTAACTTAGGATTAGAGACTCCAATGGGAGGGTGCTGCTAGTTCGTCTTGTTGGTTAAATTTGAGGATTGAAGTCTTAGAGATCTTAGATTACAGGGGTTAGTGTGTTGGTTGCTTTCTAAGTTTTATCTACCCATTCGTGGTGGGGCTTTGAATGGAAGATCCTGTTTGCTTCAGGGAATCTATGTATGGTTTTTCAGTTCAAATCTCTGATAAGCTGTGATGCGGTGGTTTTGATCAATAGCATCAGCTCTTCGAGCGTTTGGTTGGCTTGAATTATTTGGATGTTCCAATGGTGAAATCATATTTAACTTGTAGCGTTTGTTGGAAAGTTCTTGTTCGGTCATTAAGTTCGAATTTTTAAAGTGTAAGCTTGACTTGGGGTGGAGAAGTTGTTGAACTGGTTGGTTATTTATGTTTTTGTCCCACAAGGTTTTGAAGACTGAGTTACTGGGCGAGTGAGTATTAAAATTATTACTCTCAAAGTATTACAATAAGTCATATTATTCTTGAAAGAATTGAAGGGTTATAACTAAGGATTTCAATTATACCCAATTCAACGGGATTTATTAATTACAATATTCATTCAAACATAACACATTGTGTAATTACACACAGATACACTTAAATTCAAATATCATATTATTTTCGATACACAATCATATTTATTTGATAAGCAGAAGTGGACGTAGGGAAATTAAATAAAAACTACATGAACAACTTTTTTAATTAAGGGTAAACTTCAACGAGAGATCTTAAACCCAGTATAGGAGTAATTTTATAGTCGCTGAAACCCGCCGCAGAAAATAGCTTAGACCATTCTTCTTCCCGCCTCTCTCTACCTGTCTGCAGCACCATCATCAACATGTCGAAGAAAAGCTGCGTTTCGATCGATCTCGAGGTTTCATCATTCGCTTTATCATTTTCCATCAATACCATGTCTATTATAATCACCTTCTTTTTTATCATCACTCCTTTGGCTTGATTTGAAATGGCCTCTTTACATCGCTTCAAAATCTTCAAGCATTCATCATCATTCCAGTCGTGTAATATCCACTATTTAATCACTCGGAAGCATACATCAAAAGCATTAGTGTTAATTTAAAACAATTAGAAAAACGTTAAAAATAGATAATTAATTAAAAATAGTAAAAACCTTCAGTAAAACTGCATCTGCAACTGGAACATCATCAAACATATCGCCTCCAACATATTTCAAGTTCCCGCTATCTTGTAGGCCAGCGACAACATGAGGAAGATCAAAAACAGTGCACTCCAAGTTTGGAAATGCATCAGAAATGGCCTTTCCCAGTGTTCCTGTGCCCCCTCCAACGTCCACCAACGAATTCAATCCCTCAAATGAGCCCTTACACTTGTCAATCAAAACGCTACTAACAAATCGAGCATCGCTAGCCATGCCTTCATTGAAAGAATTACCAAGCTTTGGGTCATGACCACCATATTCCCACAATGTCATCCCATGAGCTGTATCAAATGGGGTACAATCATTATTTTGGAACCAGATGCCTAGAAAATCCCAAGGCTTTGTTAAAACTGGATCCAACATAGCTTTCAGAAAAGGTGTAACGCTTAAGGGATCATCCTTAAGCAAGAGACGAGAAGCATTGGTAAGAACATAACCATCTTCTTGGGAGTCATCGCTAAGCTTTTGTTGTGCAAAGAAGCCCGAATGAACTAAAATACGCATGAGCCGGTAGATGTTGCATGCCTTGGTAGGGTTGAGCGTTGGTAGTGCAGCGACCAACTCGGTAACAGTCATGGGCTTGCCATGGTTTTGAATGATATCTGGGATACCTAATTCAACAGCACATTTTAAGGACATGGGATTTATGAAGTTAAAAATGTGATTCCACACATGAGCATGAGCTTGAAGTAGCTCATTCACATTTTCTCCATTAACATTGACCTTATCCATACTTTCTAAGGTCTTTCTGTTTTGCTATGGAACCATAGGCTAAAAATAAGATACATGGACGAGGAAGGTTCCCGTATATATGGGAGCTGCCGTCTTAAAATAATTTAGGGTAAACGACACTACACACCATTTAATTTCAGGTATTGTCTCATTTATACTATTAAACTTTTAATTTTTTCAATTATAACACTAAATTTCCGTTTTAACTTCAATTATGGCACTCGGTGTTAAATTTTAACTGCACAATAACATAGATAGATCTTTCTATCACTATGATGACGTGTACAAAATAACATTGTTTTGACAACGACTATTGATGCCCAAAATGACGTCGTTTTAGGCAATGAACTTTAGGTATGTATCAATTTTGTCACAACTTTTAAACAGTTTACTTATGACATTGTACTTTCCAACTGTCATTAACAACCGTTTGTCTTTCGCATAAAGGTTGTTACCAAAACGTTCGTATTTCACTCATCTTTCTTCTCTTAGGATTGATTTTTCATAAAACTCACTCAAATTCGGAAAAAAAATCAATTTAAAAGTTTGACGTGCTAATACATTGATCTCTTCCGATGATCGACCGATGAGGCTAGTTTTGATGTATGTTGTTCACCTTCTTGAAATAATGCTTCTCACCGTTCGAATTTTTGAACAAACACCCTAAATTCATAAAATCTAATAAAGTCCCAAAACCTCTAAAAATAGTACTTTTTTAATTTCGTCGATTTTGAGCGGATTTTATGAAAAAGCAGCCCTCGGAGTAGAAAGAGGATTAAAATACAAACGTTTTGATATCAAACTTGTCATGACAGACGATCGGTGACAGGCAATGATTGGTAGCTGATGATGGTCATAAAAATGTAGTGATAAAAATAGAACTGATTAAAAGTTTAGTAGCAAAATCAATACACGCCTAAAGTTCAATTTCTAAAATGATACCGTTTTAAGTATCAATAACCGCACAAAAAAACAATATCATTTTGTTCATGTCATCACGTTGTTTGAATTTTAATGAGCCTAGTGACATAAATAAAGTTAAAAATAAAATTCAATACTAGTATTGAAAAAAATAAAATTTCAATAGTATAAATGAATAAAAGATACTTCATCTAAAATACAGTGATGGCTGGTATAGTTTATCTAGGCTGAATTAACTAATATTTGCTTTCATCGTATGAAACACGTTGCTTTCGGGGCCATGCTCCTTTAATAAATCCAACTCTATCATTAAGAAATGAAAAAGACACAAAACCTAATACTGTCTCCTATTAATTGCTTCAAGTATCAATAGTCCACTGTACACCTTTCCTTTCAACTTAAATTAATAAAAATGTAGTGATAAAAATAGAACTAATTAAAAGTTTAGTAATAAAATCAATACACACCTAAAGTTTAATTTTTAAAATGATACCGTTTTAAGTATTAATAACCGCATAAAAAAACAATATCATTTTGTTCATGTCATCACGTTGTTTGAATTTTAATGAGCCTAGTGACATAAATAAAGTTAAAAATAAAATTCAATACTAGTATTGAAAAAAATAAAATTCAATACTAGTATTGAAAAAAATAAAATTTCAATAGTATAAATGAATAAAAGATACTTCATCTAAAATACAGTGATGGCTGGTATAGTTTATCTAGGCTGAATTAATTAATATTTGCTTTCATCGTATGAAACACGTTGCTTTCGGGCCCATGCTCCTTTAATAAATCCAACTCTATCATTAAGAAATGAAAAAGACACAAAACCTAACACTGTTTCCTATTAATTGCTTCAAGTATCAATAGTCCACTGTACACCTTTCCTTTCAACTTAAATTATTTCTTGTGTGGCCCAATTTGTTAGGTACAGTTCTCTAAGCCTGGACATGATTTTTTATTATTAAATTTATTATTGTCATAATTTGTATACTTTTTGTTATTATTAATTATTCTAAATATTCATAATTAATTATTATTGTGAGAATAATAATAAAGTAAGATTAGTATGAAGTTTGATAGATATTCATGAGATGAATATGTGAATGATATTCAAATCAAATTCATATGTATTTGTTGAGAACAAATATTGGATCGGCTCGTTTTGAGATTAAGACATGAATCAATGTCATATATTAATTTTCAACAATTATGCCATTAAATTATTAAACATGAAATTACTACAATTTTAAACAGGAGGATTATTATGTTTCGACATAATCAAACATTGTCTTTAGTTGGACAATTATAAAGGAACATGATGGGAATCATGTAGTGAGATGTGAGTGGTTAAGATGAAATTTATCCCTTTTTTCATAAGAGAGATAACTCAAGGCCCCTCGATGATTGATTCTAAGAAATGCATGGTCGTACTCAATTGAGTTGATGAAGATCAATGTCATTAGTTTAGTCAATCCAATTGGACATCGAGAAACTGAAGATAGAACAATATAAGATTGACATTTTTTCATCCTTATATACTATAAAGATATCCTGAGATAAAAGGATTATAATATGAACTATATTAAGGTTGTCTCGGATCATGAAGCATTTTCATTTTACCTGGGTAGTCATAATGTCTTGCTAGAGGTTGATTAAGACTTGTAGGATCAACATGTGATTTTATCTACTGCCAAAGTTAATTGAACTTATAAGGTCGCACATTAAGAATGAATAAGAATGCTTAATTATCTCTCTGGATAATAATTTATGATATTGTTATTATTTTAAATTATATTGTAAAGAATTATTTTATCCAGATTTAATTTATAGAAGTTAAATAATAATAATAATAATAAATACCATATTATTAAGATTTTGTTGAATCTGAATTCTTTATTAGATAAGAAATCTATTTTAATTTGTTGTTTATTTTTAAAAAGTTTTAAATAAATAATAATTAAATTATTATTTAATTTAAAAAGAGTTTTAAATTAATAAAAGTTAAATCAATTTAAAAAAATCGACTTAACAAAACCCTAATAATGTCATATTTGCGTCTAATTTATACCTGGGGTTTAGTTTAATAACCTTTTTTCCAACTTTCCAAAGCCAAAAACAACAAAAATATTGTTTTGAGAAAATAAAGGGGAGCTAACATTTTGATAACTGTTATTCATTCGTTTGTAGAGGGTGGTGTCTTTAGAAAGACAATTAATATGATATACATGAAATCAAAATTTTATTTAAAAAATAATTTTTCTCATCATTAAGAAAAATGCTCTTTTTCATCTCTAGCCTTCTCCGTCATGTTCTTCATTTCACATAATATGATGGTTGTCCTTTGTGCCGAGCGTCACATATAAGCATTGATTGTGGCTTATCAACGATAGAGAATCGAAAGATCGTACCTTTTTAATCTTTCTTTCGCCATAAAAATGGATCTTGTAATGACTTGAATTTTGAGTCAATATTTGAGCATTGACTCGAACCATGAATGGATCTATTAGTAAGTGTGATTATATTTCTTTGATAAAATATGGGATTGAATGAGTGAGAATTGGGCTTAATTGATCATAAAAAGAGGTTCTTTAAGTTCAGAATAAAAGGACTAGAGATGCAAGCTACCCATTATTGAAAAATATGCTGAAATCTCAATAATTTCCTCTTTTTCCTCTAATAATTAGGAAATTGCGACCATCATTTTCGGTATATTAAGTCTCTTCACATCACTGATTGCGATCCAAATATAAAGAATCCAAATGTTACCACCACCACCACCAATAATAATTTATATAAAAATTAAAGACTATTGTAATAACCAATCACATCACGGGATTTATTAATTACAATATTCATTCAAACATAACATACTGTGTAATTACACCCAAATACACTTAGTAAATTATGCCTTGGGTGTGTTGGAAGCATAGATGGGCTCACGATAATATATAACTCGAATTTTTTATTGATACGAAACAAAATATGTTACAATGACACTACTTCAATATTACAATACTGCAATACTAGCTGCGGCTAGTTTACAAACTCACCAATATAGCTTTGCTAAGATTTTTCAAATCTCTCAAATATTTTTCTTTTCACTCGTATACTCTCTTTTCCTCACTTCTCACTCGTGTTTTTCTTTCACTCACTCTTATTTTTTTCTTCACTTCTCTACATGCTTGCTTTGCTCACATATATATTACATGTAATAAACCGACTTAAATTGCTAGATATTTTCATGCCAAGTTGTCTTCCATAATTTTTTATTGTTTTATTTGCTAACAAAAGTTGGCATGTTTCAAGTGCTTCCAAACTTTATGTTTTGCCGAGATATTCTAGTGGTATAATGCACTGTCACATTGCTTTGTTTCTACATTATTCTATCATAATTGAGTTTGATATCCAACACTCCCCCTCAAACTTGATTTTCCATTCCTAGCTTTTCTTTGAGTCGGTTGAATATATATGCTCTCAATGGTTTTGTGAAAATGTCTGCTATTTGATCTTCAGTTCTACAGTAAATTAGCTCCACGTTTTTGTTCTTCACATGCTCTTGTATAAAATGATAATTTGTATCAATATGCTTGCTTCGGCTATGGGAGACTGGATTCTTGGCAAGAGAAATTGTAGATTTGTTGTCGACATAGATTGTAATTGGTTCTTCTTGTATCAAATTTAGCTCGTGCAAAATATTCTTTAACCATATTGCTTGACAAGTGCACGTTGTTGCGGCTATGTATTCTGCTTCACATGTTGAAAGAGCTACCGTTTGTTGCTTCTTTGATGACCATGAAAATGCTGCAGAGCCGATATGAAATAGATATCCAGTTGTGCTTTTCCGATCGTCTAAGTCTCCCCCATAATCACTATCAGAATAACCAACCAGCTTCGAATTTTCTGATCGCGTGTAGAATAAGCCATGACCTGTTGTACCTTTGACATATCTGAGAATTCTTTTTGCTGCAATCCAATGATCTTGTTTCGGATTCTCCATGAATCTGCTTACCAATCCCACAACGTATGTTATGTCTGGTCGTATGATAGTCAGATACCTTAGACTTCCAACGATGCTTTTAAACAACGTCAGATTCACTTGCTCTCTTGTTGAATTCATACTTAATTTGACTCCTGGTTCTGCTGGAGTGGCTACCGACTTGCAATCTTCCATTCTGAATTTTCTTAAAATTTTGTATGCATACTTCTTTTGTGATATAAATATTCCTTCTTGCATTTGCTTCACTTCAACTCCAAGAAAGTATGACATTTCTCCAATATCTGTCATTTCAAATTCTTTAGTCATAGCTTTCTTAAAATCATTGAACATACCTGGATTATTTCCTGTGAAAATCATGTCGTCCACATATAAGCACACGATCATGATATCACCGTCTTCATTTTTCTTTGTGTATAAAGCATGCTCGTAAGGATTCTTCATGAACCCATTTCTTTGGAAATATTAATCAATTCTCGTGTTCCATGCTCTCGGGGCTTGCTTCAGACCATATAGAGCTTTCTTCAATCGATAAACTTTGTCTTCATGTCCCCTTTTAATGTATCCAAGTGGTTGCTCAATATAAACTTCTTCTTCTAGGTAGCCATTTAGAAATGCCGACTTCACATCCATTTGATAAATTTTTCATCCTTTTTGTGTTGCGACTGCTGTGAGAAGTCTGATGTCTCGATCCTTGCTACTGGAGCAAATACTTCATCATAGTCTATTCCTTGTCTTTACTTATAGCCTTTGACAACTAGCCTCGCTTTGTGCTTCTCGACCTTTCCTTCTTTATTGGTCTTTGTCTTGTAAATCCATTTTACTCCAATTGGGTTATGGCCTTCTGGCTGTCTTGTTAGCTCCCATGTATCATTTCTTTCTATTGATGCAATTTCTTCATCCATTGCATTCCTCCATTTGTCATCTTCAACCGCTTCTTCGTATGTTATTGGATCACTGTTCACAAGTAAGCAAAAAAGTGAAACATTATTTAGCTCATAATCGTTGTACCTTTCTGGAATTCTTCTCTCTCTTGTGGATCTTCGAAGTTCTGTGGGAGGTGCTTCAGGATCTTCTATTATGTTGATGGCATCCCTGCTGCTGCTTGAGGATGATGGTACGTTTTGTTGAAGACCTTGATCATCAGCTTGTTCATCTTGATTGATAAGATCTTCATCTTTAAAAAATAGTCCTTCAACTTTCTTTTCCTCTTTGCTCCATCTCCAATAGTCTGCTTCATCGAACTCGACATCTCTTGAAATTATTACCTTCTTGGTAAGAGGATTATATAATCTGTAAGCTTTGCTTCTTTCATCATAACCAATGAAAATACATTTTTCTCTTCTGTCATCAAGCTTCTTTCTGGTCTGTTCAGGAACATGGGCATATGCGATGCATCCAAAAATCTTGAGGTGTCCAACTCCTGGTTTCTGTCCACTCCATGCTTCGTTTGGCGTCATATACTTCACGCTTTTTGTTGTACATCGGTTCAATAGGTAAACTGCACATCGAACTGCTTCAGCCCATAAATTTCTCGGTAGTTGCTTGCCTTTTATCATGCTTTTCGCCATATCCAGGATTGTGCGGTTCTTTCTTTCTGCAACTCCATTTTGTTGTGGCGTGTATTTGGCTGTCAGCTGATGGATGATGCCATACTCTTTGCAGAATTCTTCAAATAACTTTGATGTATATTCGCCTCCTCTATCTGATCTGAGTATCTTCAAATATTGACCGCTTTGTTTTTCCGTCATTGCTTTGAATTCTTTCAATTTTTCCAGAGCTTCTAATTTTTCTTTCAAGATGTAAATCCAACATTTTCTACTAAAATCATTAATGAAAGTTAGGTAGTACATGTTACCACCAAGCGATGGTATGCCAAAAGGACCAGCTATATCTGTGTGTACTATCTACAACAGTCTTCGGGCACACCAGGATCTACCAACTTCAAAGCTTTGTCTATGTTGTTTTCCTTTGATGCAAGCCTCACATAATTGATTTGGAGGGTTGATCTCTGGTAGTCCTTTCACCATGTTTGTTTTTTATAACAGCTTCAAACCAGAAAATCCAAGATGTCCATATCTTAGATGCCACAGCCATAAATCATCTTTGATCGCGGTCTTCATGCACTTAACTTCTCCCGACTCGATATCAATTGTAAAGAGACAATTTCGAGTCATATCAGCTTGGGCTATCAATTCTCCTTCTTTATTTTTGATGGCAAGCGAGCGATTCTTCATCTGCACTTCGTATCCTTTTTCCAGGAGTTGACCAAGACTGATAATATTGCTTTTCAAAGCAGGTACATAATAAACATCTGAAATATATTTCTTTTCTCCATTTCTCTAAGTAATCATGACTTCGCCTTTTCCTTTTATTTCTGCGTGCGAGTCATTGCGAGTCATCTCCAAACATTACTCGCCCATGGACTGTTTCATCTAATTTCACAAACAGTTCCCTTTGACCACACATATGGTTACTGGCACAATTATCAAGATACCAAATATTTTTCTTGAATTCTTCATTTCCTTTATAAGTGAGGAATACATGACATTTTTCAATTTTTTCTTCTTCAGCTGCTGCTACGTTATTTCTTTCTTCTTGTTTAGGAGCAAATCTACAGTCATAACTGTAATGACCATACTTATTGCAATTATAACATTGTACCTGGAATTTATTTCCTTGCTGATATCTGCCTCGTCCTCGGCCTCTGAATCCTCGTCCACGTCCTGATATTGGATTGTTTCCACTTATTTAATTGATGTCATATAATCGACCACCACGTCCATGAGTTCCTTGTCCTCCTCTATATCTTCCACGATAATCGCCACGATTTCCTCGACCTCGTGTGTAGCTGTTGCTAGCTTCTCCTTCGTTGACATTCATCTTGCTTTGTAGAGCTTGCTCCAGATTTTCAGAATCTTCATTTTGTTTCATTTTCTGCTCATGGGCTTGAAGTGAACCCACAAGCTCATCGATCGATATCTGAGATAAATCTTTCGATTCTTCGATTGCCACCACCATGTAATCAAATTTTCTTGTCAATGACCGCAAAATTTTTTCCATCACTCTAACATCGTCGAGTGATTCGCCATTTCTTTTCATTTCATTTACGACCGCTTTCACACGGCTAACATAATCATCGATGGTTTATGTATTTTTCATTTTTAACATCTCAAACTCAGCTCGGAGAGTTTGTAAGTGTACCTTCTTTACTTTTTCGACACCTTGTAGAGATTTTTGCAAAATCTCCCACGCCTGTTTTGCGGTCTTCGCATCAGAAATTTTTTCAAAGGTAGATTCGTCTACTCCTTGAAAAATAAAGAACAATGCTCTTTTATCTTTTTTCCAGGATTCCTTCAATGCTTTCTTTTCTTCATTGGCCAGGGCTGCTTCTGCTGCTGCATTTTCAAGCTCGGTGTAACCATCCTCGATGATATCCCAACAATCTTGAGAGCCTAGTAACGCCTTCATTTGAATGCTCCAATTGCCGTAATTTGTCTTTGTCAATCTCGGGATTTGAGGTTGAATCATGTTGGCCATCTTCTCCACCACGTTGAACCCGAACCAAGCTCTGAGACCACTTGTTGGAAGCGTAGATGGGCTCACGATAATTTATAACTCGAACTTTTTATTGATATGAAACAAAATATGTTACAATGACACTACCTCAATATTACAATACTGCAATACTAGCTGCGGCTAGTTTACAAACTAACCAATAAAGCTTTTCTAAGCTTTTTCAAATCTCTCAAATATTTTTCTTTTCACTCGTATACTCTCTTTTCCTCACTTCTCACTCGTGTTTTTCTTTCACTCACTCTTATTTTTTTCTTCACTTCTCTACATGCTTGCTTTGCTCACATATATATACATGTAATAAACCGACTTAAATTGCTAGATATTTTCATGCCAAGTTGCCTTCCATAATTTTTTATTGTTTTATTTGCTAAAAAAAGTTGGCATGTTTCAAGTGCTTCCAAACTTCATGTTTTGCCGACATATACTAGTGGTATAATGCGCTGCCACATTGCTTTGTTTCTACATTATTCTATCATAATTGAGTTTGATATCCAATAGGGTGATGGATGAGTCCGCATTGGTCTGATTATATTTATACCGAAGAACTGAAATACTTGAGAGTCGAGACACGTTTTTCTGTATGGGGAAATTATGAAATATGGAATAAGGTGAAAACAAATATGAGCCTGAATTCTTTGTATGTCGTTTGCTTTTGTTTCATTACTGTATGGGATGTTAGAAAATTTAGAAAATAAATAGTAAATGTGATTCCGGATACCACAGTTATTATGCTATCATTCCATTCGGAGGATAATATATATGCATGTAGCTCGAGTTAATTAAGATTCAGACCTTACTCTATAGGATCCATTAGTACTTTCGAAACCTTATGTTTTGAAGCCCTAAAATATTCTCTACAACCTATTATCTATTTACAATTTTGGAAACTAATGTTGTAAGTATTGTTTCTTTTTGTTTTCTTTTTTCCCCTCTGTATCTTTCGAGTGGAGAAGGGGTATGTGCTATGTAGGGTATTCCATAAGAACAATATAGGACCACCCAATGGAAACCGATATGCACCCTTTATTGAGTCGGAATGGGATGATGCATCAGCAGCTGTGGTTCCGGGACTAGATGCCGGGGATGATGGTGTAGCTGGAAATGATGCGATTGCTGGCAATGATGTGGCATCTGCCGAGAAGGCAGTGAATGAAAGTAACGCTGTTCAAAGGATCGGTTTTGAGCAGGTTTATGCTTTATTTTTTTCCTCAAAAAATTTCTTGAACAATGGTGAACAAGATTCTGAGATAGCCTATTGAGTTCCCAATTACCGTATTAATTATAAAAGTAAGTTTAATAGTTTGTCCAGAACTGGTCTGAACTTCCAGTAAGTTTTGAGGTAGGAGTTACCGGATTGCTCTTCCTCTTGGCGCCTTCCTAGAGATATTTGACTTCCAACTTCCCGAGCAATCCTCATGACTAGCTAGGATGGGATGCAATACTAGGTACGGTAGCCTGTGCGATAGAATTAGTCGCTTCCTTTTCTAGATTTTGGATGAGCATCCATGTGCACTCCTATGTTATAGAAACCTTTCAGTTGCGATAAACATTAGGTTGATACGGTGTGACAGACTGCAGATTATTTAGAGCACCTATATGATTGTATTAGGTAAGATATTGAAATCTCAACAGTTCTTCCTCTGCAGTTTCATTCCAATGCCTTTTTTCTTGTACGGAGAGTAATTGATTGGCTGCACTTGTTTCATGTGTGCATCATATTCTAGTTTCAAAATTCGACATAACAAATCGTTTTTTATACTTAGTTCTGCTACTAATATGTCTGTTATTTTTTATATTCCCCCCTTCTTGTACTGATGATGTATGCAACAAAATGTAGAATTCAAACCTTAAAGTGGCTTTTGGTTGACATGAATCCCTTGGAATTGGGGGGAATTGGAATCTAATTTCACCACTTTCTCATGTTTGGTTCAAGTTTTCCAAGAGAATTAGAATCCCTCGACTTCAACTTTCTATCAAATGTGGGAAAGTGAATTCCATCCAAGAATGGATGGAATTCAATTCCCTTGTTGGAGGGAAAAGGGAATTGAAATTTGATCATACTACCCTAATCAATCTTTTGGTAACTTATTCATATATTGAATAAAAATATTTTTATTATTATTTCGGGTCGGGTCGGGTTTCTAATTCATATATTCGGGTCGGGTCGAGTTCGGGTTTAGGGTGAAAAATATCCGACCCGAAAATATATATAATTTTACCTTAAATATTTAGGAATAATTACAATAATACCCCTCTATATATAATTTTTTCAATTAAGTCACTGCTTTTATTGAATAAAAATAATTTTTTTATTATTTCGGGTCGGGTCGGGTCGGATTTCTAATTCATATATTCGGGTCGGGTCGGGTAAAACTTTATTCTGTTAGGGTCGGGTTTTTTAAGTGTGATATCCGGGTCGAGTTTTTTTAAGTGTGATATTCGGGTCGGGTCGGGTCATGTTCGGGTTTAAGGTGAAAAAACCGGACCCGACCAAAAAAATATATATAATTTTACCTTATATATTTAGGAATAATTATAATAATACCCCTCTATATATAATTTTTTCAATTAAGTCAATGTTTTTATTAAATAAAAATAATTTTTTTTTATTTCGTGTCTTGTCAGATCGGGTTTCTAATTCATATATTGAATAAAAATAGTTTTTGGTAACTAATTAACATACTCCGATTGGAATGTATCGAAATATTGCTCTATCTTTTGGTAACTTATTAACATATTTTGATTGCGATGATTTTAACTTATGATGTTTATTAGCATGATTTTTATAATTTATTGAAATGAATAATCAATCAATAAAATGAAAATTTAATATTTTTAAATTTTTTTTAATATATTACTACATGTAAGTTGTAAAACAAACTAAAATAAAGCAAAAAAAAAAATAAGAATGACAATTCTGTTATTTTACATTATTGAAATCAAATTCATCTAAAATGTCTGCGAACCAAACAGAATATGAAATTGGATTCCAATTTCATTTCCTGCCAACCAAACAGAATATGGAATTGTATTCCAATTCCTGACAGATTTCAATTCCTTCACAGATTTCAATTCCCTCAGAAACATTTCAGCGAACCAAACGCCACCTTAAATTCAAATATCATATTATGTTCGATACACAATCATATTTATTTGATAAACAGAAGTGGACGCAGGGAAATTAAATAAAAACAACATGAACAACTTTTTTAATTAAGGGTAAACTTCAATGAGAGATCTTAAACCCAGTATAGGAGTAATTTTGTAGTCGCTGAAACCCGCCGCAGAAAATAGGTTAGACCATTCTTCTTCCCGCCTCTCTCTACCTGTATGCAGCACCATCATCAACATGTCGAAGAACAGCTGCGTTTCGATCGATTTCAAGGTTTCATCATTCGCTTTATCATTTTCCATCAATACCATGTCTATTATAATCACCTTCTTTTTTATCATCACTCCTTTGGCTTGATTTGAAATGGCCTCTTTACATCGCTTCAAAATTTTCATTTTAGGGTTGTTGTGAAGTGATTGTCTTAACATATAAGAAAATTATTTCTGATAATTTTAAAATGAAAGTGTATTTCGTCAAGTGAAATCCTAAAATTTGATTACTTTTAAAATTTGGGAATGATAGAAAAATAAATATTTAAATTCTTCGAAAAAATATCGTTAGAACTTATAAAAGGTTTGATTTCGATGTCTTTAAATAATCGAACATTATTATTCTTTTTAAAAGGATTGATAAATCATGTTTAATTAATCTTAATTTATTTTTCATCATTGTTCATGCAATTTAAAATTCGAATCAATGGTTTTTGAATGAAATGCTAATACTTCTTTATTTCAATTGGAGTAAGCTTTAAGGCATGAAAAGTCTTTTCTTCTTAATAAGAAATAATTAAATATTATTGTATTCCGTTTTAAAATTCAATAAACGTTATTTAAGGGATATTAAATTAAATTTGAACTTGTAAGATTCATTGCAAAAACAAATAATTACCGATTAGGTATAGATTTATGGCGTTGTGGGGTGTTAATCCTTCCCCAAGCATAATCGAATATCGAACTCAAATTTTTGGTAACACATACCTTAAAATGTTGTTTTTAATAATTTTTAAATGAAATTTTATTAAAATGACAAAACATTTTGGGTGTCCAATCACACCCTAATCAAATATTAGTGGCGACTCCTCAAACCGTGTTTTATTTTGACTTTAAAAAGAGAAACCTCAAATTAATCGAGACGAGATTTTTTAAATCTCACTTAAAATAATTAAATTTGTTTTTTTTAAGAAATCGTTTCGACACTCATTCAAAAAACCAATAAAATTTTCATATTAATTTTATAAGCTTTAAGGAATTTTTTTATATCAAATTGAATTATTAATTTATGAAATTCTCATTTTTAGGGAGCAAATGTTTACATTAATGTTTTTTGTAAATATATTTATAATACTTATCATTAAATTTTTTTAAAGAAAAATTATTTAAATTGATATAAAAATATATTTACAATATGATTCAATGGGATGTCACATACTGGAAATTGTGTTACTAATGATGTTATAGAACTTTCTGAAGTTAATTTTCTTTATTAGAATCCAATTAAAAGTTTTCTTTATTAGAATCCAATTAAAAGGGTTAGAAGGGATTTTAATTGTTGGACTGATTTTACAAACATCAGTATGATTTATGATTCTCCATATTAGTTGTATCATTTATTATATATCATTTTAATTTTAAACCAATGTTGATCATTTTTTTTTAAATTTTAAATCAATATTAAAGAATTTAAATTTTAATTTATTTTGATTAATATGGACTTAAGGGGGTGTTTGGAGGAGGGAATGTGGGATTCCCATGGGAATGTAATCCACATTCCCCAGTTTGGTTAGCCCGGGAATCTCATTCCCGGTAATGTAAGATTACTAATAGTGGATTTTTTGGGGTATATTACCGGGAATATCATTACCTCCATTTCCTTAGGTATTGTTGGATTCCCGGCGTTTTGGACCAAAATGCCCTTAATTTTTTTTAAATATCATTTTTCTGTCATTGAATAATAAAAATTCTACGAATGTTAAATTACAAATTTATCCTTAAACTATTTTAGATTTACAAAAAAAGTCTAATTAAAATTTTATATGAAGTTCAGGGTTAAAATAAAATTTTACCATTTCATTAAACCTTTTTATATTTTCAATTTTGTAAAAAAAATTATATAAATTTTATGAATTTAAATTTTTTAAAGAAAATATATAAATATTTTCCAACTTGTTAAAAAATAAATATATAATAAGGACAATTTGGTCAAATATACATTACAATAATCTTTTATTATTTTAACCAAACACGGTAATCTTACATTCCTGTTAAGCCAACCAAACATAAAATACAACATTTCCAGTAATACTATTCCCTGGTAATCTTACATTCCCACTAATAATCTTCCATTCCGTGAACCAAACGCACCCTAAATATTTACTGACCGATAAGTAAAAACTGTAATGTGCTTTTAAAAGTGAAAAGAAACATACAAAAATTAAAAGTATCATAGAAAATTGTTTAAAATCCCGATGATAAAAACATATCTCCATCTATTCATAAAAATTTATAAGCTTTTTAGAATCACTCACTTATAAGTTCAGTAAGGAATTACATTTTGGACATAGCTGAAGAACATGGGATAATGTATCACTTCCTTCTATAACAATCATCCTCATAACAATAATAACATGTATACATGTGTTTTCGAAAAACAATCATACTTTTAAAACATGTGATACAATCAAGCACTCATAGAGACCAAGGTAAATAAAATAAACGATAATATAACACTATTAAGAAGACAATTGTACTGAGTTGAGAAGTTGACAAGAAAATCTAGTGAAATGTCTGTTTATCACGACCAGCAACAGTGTTAAAACTTAAGTAAAAAAAACTGGATTACTATTATGATAAATTAAATCTAAATTTTACTCTAATAATTTATTGAAACATAAGAGCAATCCTCTTAAGTAAAAGAATTGTGTGAATCAGTTGGATCAGAAGTGCTAGATCTAATCGATATTTGATCAAGAGAAACACATGCACCTTCACGAACATAATTCTAAACCAGTTCTATATATATGAAATCTATTAAACATATAAAAATCCTAATGTTTCAAATGTTGTGTGGGTCAATGGGCTTAATTATGGGTTTTCGGAATAGATTTTGATGAAACGGTTCATGAAAACAGAATCAATATATCAAAAAGCGTTAGGGTCAAAGTTAATGGCTCAGCCCAGATCAACTTAATTTGAAATGGACTAGACTGGTTCGATTTAGTTTAGACTAGACCAGACTAATTGGGTTGGTCTCAAATGGATTGATTCGGTCGGGTTAGATTTTTGACTTAACAGAAAGAATATGGGTCAATTTTATTTTTATTTTTTTTGGCTCGGCAATGTAAATTTGTTTATTACAAAGGACGTGGGATGAAATTCCCATAAAAGTTGAGTACAAAGATTAATAGCCCCAAGCTCAAAGAAAACACGACTCAAAGTGGCAGCCTTGGAGCAGCAATACCACGGCTTCAACACATTACAAACAGTCTGAATAAGGTCTCGAAAGAAAAAATGCTACGCAATACAGGAAAAAAAATTAAACAAAACTACCAACTCCGAGTGATATAATTGAATTACCACCAAGCTTTGAAGAGATCTGGCCTAAACATCCCATGTTTAGCAAGGAAGTCTGCCATACCGAGCATATTGGAAATCGGTGAACCGTAATT